GACGGGCAATGTGATATTTTAATAAGCATAAAAATACATTTGTTCAAACAATTATTGAATGCATTAAAATAATAATTATTATGATTACTTTTATTATTATAATTAATACTACTACTACTACTAATAGTAATAATACTTTTGCTAATTCCAATAGAGATTAGCATGAACATGCAATATGATCTTTTAATTAGCATAAAAATGCATTGCACACAGAAATATCATATGCAATAAAATAATAACAATAATTATTATTAATAATAATAACATTGTTTTTATTATTATTAATACTTTTGCTAATTCCAATAGTTTAGCATGAGCATGCAATGTTATATTTTAATTAGCATAAATATGCATTGCACACAGAAATATCATATGCAATAAAATCATAACAATAATAATAATTATTAATAATAATAATATTGTTTTTATTATTATTAATACTTTTGCTACTTCCAATAGAGTTTAGCATGAGCATGCAATGTGATATTTTAATAAGCATAAATATGCATTGCACACAGAAATATCATATGCAATAAAATCATAACAATAATAATTATTAATAATAATATTGTTTTGATTATTATTAATACTTTTGCTAATTCCAATAGAGTTTAGCATGAGCATGCAATGTGATATTTTAATAAGCATAAATATGCATTGCACACAGAAATATAATATGCAATAAAATCATAACAATAATAATTATTAATAATAATAATATTGTTTTGATTATTATTAATACTTTTGCTAATTCCAGTAGTTTAGCATGAGCATGCAATGTGATATTTTAATAAGCATAAATATGCATTGCACACAGAACTATCATATGCAATAAAATAATAACAATAATTTTTATTAATAATAATAATTTTGTTTTTATTATTATTAATACTTTTGCTAATTCCAATAGAGTTTAGCATGAGCATGCAATGTCATATTTTAATAAGCATAAAAATGCACTGCACACAGAAATTAAAAATTCAGTAAAAATAAAATAAAAATAATAATCATTATTATTATTATTTTGCTGATTCCAATAGTTTAGTGTGAACAAAAATAACAAAAAAAAATTTGCACGCACAAATATTCAATGCATTAAAATAATAATAACAGCAATATTGTTATTATTATTATTAATATTAATAATACTTTTTAATTAAATTAAACTATTTTAATTTAGTTGCTCATATGTTTTGAATAGAATAATTTTTTTTGGATGAAATATTTCACCGAGGTCATTGCAGTGCATTCTGGGATTGCATGTGCTGCCTTAGTCAAAACAAGCATAATAATATAATTGCGAGGGTTCGGTTAAGAGAGTGTGTCGCTCTGGTTACGCTTGTTAAATTCTAGTGTAAAAACAGATTTGTGACACTGTCGATATGTTTGATTTCCTCCATCAGCTGCAGAGCGAATTCATTCAGAACGGCTGCAGGAACTACAGGTTCATTCCTATTCTGTTCCCGGGAGCTAAAAAGGTTTGTGAAATTCAGCACACTGCAGTTTACCCCCAAGTATTTCAGTGGATCAAAGCATGTTTGTGAGCTTGTTACAGCACTAAACGGGTTCAACTAGTCCCACATTCTCTACACTTCACAGAGCAATGCACTGAACCGTCGAATCATGATTAATGAAGCAAATACCGACATCATTTCAGCTTCTGTAAGATTTCTCACAGCAAAGGACCTGTTTTCTTCTCGTTCTCAGTGTTACGTTCCCACCTGGCTGCAAAACACGCACGTCTACAGCTGGCCGAAAGATCGGGACGATATTCTGCGCAGGTTGATGCGTGTGGAGAAATACAACCCTCCTCCCATCGGCCCTCTGCCGACCATAGTCTCCATTCCCCTTTAGAGCAGCGTCCTGCTTCCACTGTGACAAATGACCCAGAACCAACATCAGCCACGATTAAAGGGGTCATATGGTGTTGCTAAAAAAACATTATTTGGTGTATTTGGTGTAATGAAAAGTGTTTATGCGGTTTGTGATGATGCCCTGTCCGGCCGGAGCGACGACACAAAAACATTAAAACCCATTATAAACGAGGCATTTGTTGCATCCAGCGAGGACATAATTACTGATTATAATGACTTTTTACGCGTTGCGTTGAATCGCGCCGCGTAAACATAAAACCATGTCTGCATTTGTGATCGGAGAAATGACAAACAACAAGCGCTACTCTACACTGCTCAAAACCCGCGTTTGAATCATCAGTGGCAAATTATTTAAATAT